ACTCTCATCAACTCCTCAATCCTGACCGGAGGACGACACGCTTCTGACAGCAGCAGACACACACACACACACACACACACACACACACACACACACTAACCCTACCCCTAAACCTACTCATAACACACACACACACTAACTCTACCCCTAAACCTACTCATAACACACACACTCTCATCAACTCCTCAATCCTGACTGGAGGACGACACGCTTCTGACAGCAGCAGGTACACACACACTCACACACACACACACACACACACACACACACACACACACACACACACACACACACACACACTAACTCTACCCCTAAACCTACTCATAACACACACATATTCATCAATTCCTCAATCCTGACTGGAGGACGACACGCTTTTGACAGCAGCAGGTACACACACACACACACACACACACACACACACACACACACACACACACACTAACTCTACCCCTAAACCTACTCATAACACACACACTCTCATCAACTCCTCAATCCTGACTGGAGGACGACACGCTTCTGACAGCAGCAGACACACACACACACACACACACACACACACACACACACACACACACACACACACACACTAACTCTACCCCTAAACCTACTCATAACACACACATATTCATCAACTCCTCAATCCTGACTGGAGGACGACACGCTTCTGACAGCAGCAGACACACACACACACACACACACACACACACACACACACACACACACACACACACACACACACACACACACACACACACACACACACACACACACACACACACACACACTAACTCTACCCCTAAACCTACTCATAACACACACATATTCATCAACTCCTCAATCCTGACCGGAGGACGACACGCTTCTGACAGCAGCAGACACACACACACACACACACACACACACAGACTAACCCTACCCCTAAACCTACTCATAACACACACACTCTCATCAACTCCTCAATCCTGACCGGAGGACGACACGCTTCTGACAGCAGCAGACACACACACACACACACACACACACACACACACACAGACTAACCCTACCCCTAAACCTACTCATAACACACACACACACACACAGACTAACCCTACCCCTAAACCTACTCATAACACACACACTCTCATCAACTCCTCAATCCTGACCGGAGGACGACACGCTTCTGACAGCAGCAGACACACACACACACACACACACACACACACACACAGACTAACCCTACCCCTAAACCTACTCATAACACACACACACACACAGACTAACCCTACCCCTAAACCTACTCATAACACACACACACACACACAGACTAACCCTACCCCTAAACCTACTCATAACACACACACACACACACACACACACACACACACACAGACTAACCCTACCCCTACCCCTAAACCTACTCATAAAACACACACACACACACACTAACTAACTCTACCCCTAAACCTACTCATAACACACACACACACACACACACACACACACTCATCAACTCCTCCATCCTGACTGGAGGATGACACGCTTCTGACAGCAGCAGGTACACACACACACACACACACACTAACTCTACCCCTAAACCTACTCATAACACACACACACACACAAACTAACTCTACCCCTAAACCTACTCATAACACACACACACACACACACACACACACAGACTAACCCTACCCCTAAACTTACTCATAACACACACACTCACACACTCACACACTAACCCTACCCCTAAACTTACTCATAACACACACACACACACACTCACACACTAACCCTACCCCTAAACCTACTCGTAACACACACACACTCACACACTAACCCTACCCCTAAACTTACTCATAACACACACACACACACACACACACACTCACACACTAACCCTACCCCTAAACCTACTCATAACACACACACACACACACACACTCTCAATTTATGTTCTGTCTGTCTGTCAGTTCTCAGAGGGATCGAGATGATCAGAAGAAGCGAGGCTCTGAGTTCTGCTACTCTGGCCTGCCGAGATACTCCGCTCTGGACGCCGTGGGCTGGGTGAGGGTCGGCCAATCAGAGGACAGCAGTACACCTGTTCACTTTAGAGTCCGCAAGTGACCGTTTGCATGTGGTGTGTGTGTGTGTGTGTGCAGGGCGCCGCTGCCGTTCTCTTCATGCAGCTCTGTCGCAGGATTCACTCCCGGTTTTCCTCGCGTGCGGATCAGAACCGGATCACAGACGTCGGACTCGTACAGAAATGCTCCTACAAGGTCCTGATTGACATCTGTGAGTCCTGCTGTCAGTCATACACACACACACACATTTTGACCACTAAAACATTGACTTAGTAACATTATATATACACACACTACCAGTCAAAAGTTTGGGATCAGTAAGATTTAAAATAAATCAATACTTTTATTCATCAAGGATGCATTAAATTGATCAAAAGTGACAGTAAAGACATTTATAATGTTACTAAAGATTCTATTTCAGATAAAGGCTGATCTTTTGAACTTTCTATTCATCAAAGAATCCTGTTTTCAACACTGATAATAATCATAACTGTTTATTGAGCATCAGATCCTCATATTAGAGTGATTTCTGAAGGATCATGTGACACTGAAGACTGGAGTAATGATGCTGAAAATACAGCTTTGATCACAGGAATAAATTACACTTTACTATATATTTAAAATAGAAAATTTAATTGTCATAATATTTAACAATATTACTGTTTTTATTTAATTACATTTTTTTAAAAATTAAAAATCTTACGGATCTAAAACTTTTGAACGGCAGTGTACAGTATAAACACATTTACACACACGTACAGTGTCCCGGGAGAGTGTGTTGTCCGGTGGAGTGACGGTGAAGTGCCTGCGGGGGGCGCTGCAGTCTCCAGAGCCCAGCGATGACATCAGCAGTGACATCAGCAGTGATGAGGATCTGACCTCTGACCTGCAGACCCCTGAGACCGCCAGCCCGTCACACTCCGGTCAGAACCAGCACACTTACAGACTCATATAATAAAGATGTGAAGTGCACTAGAAGTTGACTCTTCATTCTTGATTTTCTTACAGAGGAAACTCTTTTTCCTGAACCAGTGAAACCACAGGTAATATTTTAGACCAGTTTGTTTATGGGGCTGTATGTAGAATTCAATAACCCGTGTTATTAGCGACACCGGTGGCCGTTTCGTGAACTGCAGAGAGAGACGTGATTCAATGGCTTCCCATTTCCGTTCACAAATTTGTAGGGTTGTGTATCGTTTGAATTTGAATGTTTTCGATTCCAATAAGGTAAAAAAACAACGTAGATATCACTCACATTTAGTCTTATTGCAAAACATGTAATTGTAGCTGAATATCATGAGCAGAAATCAACAGGCTGAAGAACACTTACACAAGGAGTGTTTGCCTGAGGTTTAAAAACACTAGAAGAACAACTAGCCCAACTAATATAAAGACAAGTAAACACTGAGTAATTAAAAAAGAACAAATCAAAAATTAGCAATCACCACAAATAGACACAACTGAACAAATACACAACTGAAATAAACAGTGTTTTAAGATTTTCAGGTTCAGAAACTGTAATCAAATGTAAAATAACACTGAACTTTATAAATAAAATATACATTACAAATATAGTTGCAAAAGTTATTCAGTGAAGAACGAGTGAATTCCCTCTTTGTGTGATTAGTGTTATTATAGAGCCGGCAGGAATATGAGCGCTGTCACTTTAAGAGCCGCACGGGTCCAATACACTGATACACATCTGTGAACAACACAGAAAACAGAGTCTCTCGCGCTTCAATGGTTTAAAGTCATTGAAATGCTCAATTTAGTTAATTTTATTACAAGTATTCGATTCCCAACCCGATTTTCAGGGCATGAATTTCAGTGTAGGATTGCAGATATTGTGCAGTTTTACTCATTTGCTCTTATAATGTGGGAATTTCCCGCAAACATGCAAGACTTTCACTCGTGTTTCAGGACGTTTGACTAAATTGTGCCGTCTGAACTCTTGTTTTGGATTGGTGCGTAGATCGTCTCTTCTTCTGCTCTTTTTCCTGTTGTGGCGATTAGCAAACAGCATTGCATTACCGCGCGCTTCCTTCTGTGTTGAAATTCTCACATATAGCCTCTTTTAAACGTGTTTTGCTTTAGATTAACCCTTCATCCTCACGTGTGTATCCTACAGGAACGTCTCGCACCCGATGAAGCGGCGCAGAAGTTGAGGCACGTGGCGGACAGCAGCGTACCCATAATCCTCAACATCATCGGTAATGATGACGACCTCACACACACACACACACTCCGTCAGAGGATGCTGTGAGAACATGGTGTCGTGTTTCAGGTCTGGAGAGCGCTAGAGCGGGGGATTACGAGGCGGCGTTCTCCTGTTTTCTGGCTTCGGCTCAGCACGACTACAGCAAAGCTCAGTTTAACGTGGGAGTGTGTTACGAGAGAGGACGTGGAGTACGGCGAGACCACAGCAAGGTAAACGCACGTCTCATGTTTAGCCAAGTCACCTTCATTTATACAGCACTGTTAACAATATAGACTGTTTCAAAGCAGCTTTACAGTGATAACAGGAGATTACAGTAACAGAAATAAAGTTATTGTCCAGATAAAGTTAGTTTAGATTGATTCACTTCCGTTGCAAAGATCATTAGTTATTAACTTAGCGGCCGCTAACACGACACCGCTCTAACAAAAAACATAAACTTTTAATGTGTTCAGGCCGTTCATTTACACACAACAGTGTTTGAGCTCGAGAACTAAACCTTGAAACAGGTGTTGAAGTGCTGAAAAATGTTGAAAGCGTTATCTCAGCGAAAGCTTTAAAAACGCAAACCTGTGAACACGCTGACGGCGTGCACATGCGTATCACGTGTTTAGTCTATAGATATGCGCGTTTGAATATATATATATATATACGCAGGAGTGTCTTTCTCTACAAATTGACCTCAACAAATTACTTGTCAGGCCTTAAAAATTCATAATACAGAATTTTTGGCGCTTCGGCGTATCCATGTGAATGTTTAGATGGTCTCCTGCGTGTTTATTCACACGTGACTGTCGTCTCTCAGGCGGTGCTCTACTACAGACGCGCCGCAGTCGCTGGCCACCGCCAGGCTCAGTACCGCTGTGCTAAACTCCTCTTGAACAGCAGAGGGCAGCAGAGCTCAGAGAGCGACTCCGAAGCGGCGCTGAACTTCCTCTACGCAGCGGCAGACGCCGGACTCACGGAGGTACGGATGATGTGTACACTGCCTACTGTCACAGGTCTTATCTACATTATCACGGATATGCTCAGACTGGTTCTAGTATGTTTGTCAGCAGAAAAGCTTGATCCTCACATCTGTTCAATTCGACCATTCAAGAGGGTCTGTCTGGCTATGAGAGCAAGAGGCCTGTGTGAGAGATTTTAGCAAATGTCCCCTTCGTTCTAGAGACGCGTTCTCTTAATATGATGTCCGGGGGCCTCTAGACTACCAGCACATCAACGTGAGCGAGTGACGCGTGCAACTTATCCCATTGAGACAGGACTGAATATCCCAAAATTTACATTTGTTATGTCCCTCTGACCTGGTTTAATACATGATTGGCCCCCAAAAAAGATGCTCGTCCACGAACTGCCTGTGACATGTCCATTGAATAAGTTGCAAGTGGGATGTCGAAATACAGGGGTCAAAAGGTTGCAGGGCCTCGAAATTTGGCACAGTCGAACATCAAGGGTCCCCTAATCGGGCCTCCAAGTTTCCTGGCTCAAGATGCTTTCTGAGTCTATTGGCCCCTGGGAAAGTAACTACATCACGAGTCCTTCACAGGCACACGCCCCATAGAGATCTATGCCAGATAGAGAGAAAGTGGGACGTCCGAAAAACAAGGGTCAAAAGGTTGCAGGGCCTTGAAATTTGGCACAGTCGAACATCAAGGGTCCCTTAATCAGGCCCCTAAGTTTCCCGGCTCTAGATGCTTCCTGAGCCTATTGGCCCCTGGGAAAGTAACTACATCACGAGTCCTTCACAGGTACATGCCCCATAGAGATCTATGCCAGATAGAGAGAAAGCGGGACGTCCGAAAAACAAGGGTCAAAAGGTTGCAGGGCCTCGAAATTTGGCACAGTCGAACATCAAGGGCCCCCGAATCGGGCCCCCAAGTTTTGCAGCTCTAGATGCTTCCTGAGCCTATTGACCCCTGGGAAAGTAACTACATCACGAGTCCTTCACAGGCACACGCCCCATAGAGATCTATGCCAGATAGAGAGAAAGTGGGACGTCCGAAAAACAAGGGTCAAAAGGTTGCAGGGCCACGAAATTTGGCACAGTCGAACATCAAGGGTCCCCGAATCAGGCCCCCAGGGTTTCCTGGCTCTAGATGCTTCCTGAGCCTATTGGCCCCTGGGAAAGTAACTACATCACGAGTCCTTCAGAGGCACACGCCCCATAGAGATCTATGCCAGATAGAGAGAAAGCGGGACGTCCGAAAAACAAGGGTCAAAAGGTTGCAGGGCCTCGAAATTTGGCACAGTCGAACATCAAGGGTCCCCGAATCAGGCCCCCAAGTTTTGCAGCTCTAGATGCTTCCTGAGCCTATTGGCCCCCTGGGAAAGTAACTACATCACGAGTCCTTCACAGGCACACGCCCCATAGAGATCTATGCCAGATAGAGAGAAAGCGGGACGTCCGAAAAACAAGGGTCAAAAGGTTGCAGGGCCTCGAAATTTGGCACAGTCGAACATAATTTTCCCGAATCAGGCCCCCAAGTTTTGCTGCTCTAGATGCTTCCTGAGCCTATTGGCCCCTGGGAAAGTAACTACATCACGAGTCCTTCACAGGCACACGCCCCATAGAGATCTATGCCAGATAGAGAGAAAGCGGGACGTCCGAAAAACAAGGGTCAAAAGGTTGCAGGGCCTCGAAATTTGGCACAGTCGAACATCAAGGGTCCCCGAATCAGGCCCCCAAGTTTTGCAGCTCTAGATGCTTCCTGAGCCTATTGGCCCCCTGGGAAAGTAACTACATAACGAGTCCTTCAGAGGCACACGCCCCATAGAGATCTATGTAAGGCATTGAGATGTATAAGAAATAATAATATATATTTTATCGTATCTAACAGCCTAGCCCTCTCAGTATATCGTTGAGGGTCTCGTGATGTAACTTTCTGTAATGTTTGGGGCCCTAGGACCTCCACACTTATCCCATTGATTTCTCATAGGTGGACAGCGCTCAGACAGGTCCGAATGTCCCAAAATAGTTTCTAGTTTTGTTTGTTTAATGTCTTTAAGGTGGGTTCTTTTGATTTAGACTAGTATGCAAGCACACAGAACACGTTAGCATCCACACAGCAACAGATAAATAATCTCCCGCCCCTTAAACAGTGTGTGTGTGTGTGTGTGTGTGTCCAGGCTCAGGTGTATCTGGGTGTCGTGTTGTCTCAGGGTTCGGCGTGGGACGAGAAACAATCCGTTCATTATTTCAGGATGGCCGCTGAGCAAGGGGTAACACACCTCTCATCTACACACTCTATACTAATGATGTGCTTTTTATGAATAAACAGCTTTATCGTGTTCGTCACGTGTGTGTGTGAAGGACAGCGGTGCTCTGGTGTGTCTGGCTCAGTGTTACGAGAAGGGTTTCGGCGTGTCTCCGTGTGTCCACACCGCAGTCAAGCTGTACCAACAGGCAGAAGCCCGAGGAAACCAGCAGGCCAGAGACGTCCTGAGAGACAAACACAGCAGAGAGGGTGAGAATATATATTATTATATATGTGATTATAATAATATCTGATTATATATGTGACCCTGGATCACAAAACCAGTCACAAGGGTCAATTTTTTTATGTATACATCATCAGAAAGCTGAATAAATACGCCTCCCATTGATGTATGGTGTGTTAGGATAGGACAATATTTGGTCGAGACACAACTATTGAAGATCTGGAATCTGAGGTGCAGAAAAATCTAAACATTGAGAAAATCTCCTTTAAAGTTGTGCATTTATGTTCACGATTGTGCAGCACTCACTCACAGGAATACATGTGTTATATATTTACGGTAGGAAATTTACAAAATATCTTCATGGAACATGATCTTTACTCAATATCCTAATGATTTTTGGCAGAAAAAACGATAATTTTGACCCATATAATGTATTGTTGGCTATTGCCACAGAAACACCCGTGCGACCCGAGACTGGTTTAGTGATCCAGGGTCACATATGAACTAAGGGGCTGTCTGGATGTAGTAAAATTGGTTAAATTATGACTCTAAATCAAGATTATTATCGTAACTTAAAAAATGCTACTGAAAAATATTTTTGTTAATTGGAATAAAGTTGAAATAAAATAAAATAAAATAAAATATACATATTAGATTCAATATTATTTCAGTAAGTTCCCTGGCAGTATTTCTTGTTTAGCTTAAGTTGAAGCTCTAAAATTACTAACTGGGAATAAATTAAAAACTAAAACAGAACTAAAATAAAAAATAAATTAAGCTAAAATAGTAATGTAAAAAAAAAAAAAAATGAATAAAAATGACAAAATCGCTAAAAATACAAATAACAAAATTACTAAAAATTTTACTAAAACGAAAATGTAAACATGAAAATAATATTAACAAAAACTATAATAAAAACAATGCTGAAATAACACTGTTCTAAATATATAATATACATATACAATAATATTTTTATAATAATAAATATAGCTGCAAGCAAGCGTGCATCATAACAGCTGCAAAAAAGACATTTGGAGATTATTTTAAGCTAAATGGTTGAAAACCTAAAAATACAAGCACTTGAAATGTGACGTAATTGCTTATTACTTTTGACCAATAGGCGGCGCTGACACCAAATTGATCTGGTTTGGTCAGAGTTGGGTGGCAGTGAGAAGTTCAGTGTCAATATATCAAGTGTTTCCAGAGATGCAGCCTCAGATGGAGTTTGGCATCATGACAGTTTCATCTATCGACATTAAATCCATAACTTTTTGCCGGCATAAAATGAAGATGACCTGACTCGAAATTGGTGAAAATCGGTAAAAACGGCCTAGGAGTTTTTTTTTTTTTTTTAAAGTACGTTTTAATAAAAGATCAACAGGAAGTTTGGCAGACTATGCCATAATTGGCATCTTCAAAAGGTATTAGAATTTTTTTTATTTTCGTTATAATTTTTGACCACAAGATGGCGCTGTCCCAAAACCTTTTGAGTATCTTCAGGGCATTGTGTCGAAGACAGGTTGGGTATCGTTTGATTTTTAACGATTCCGATTCCTATTTTGATTCTGCTTATCGATTCCTAATTTCGATTCCAATAAGGCAACAAAAAAAACTTTGATATCATTCACATTAAGTCTTATTGCAAAACAACTAGCCGAACTAATATAAATATCAAGCATTATTAAAGACAAGTAAACACTCAGTCATTTAAAAAGAACAAATAAAAAATTAGCAATCGCAACAAATAGACACAACTGAACAAATACACGATTGAAATAAACAGTGTTTTAAGATTTTCAGGTATTCAGGAACAGAAACTGTAATCAAATGTAAAACACTGCACTTTATAAATAAAATATACATTACAAATATAGTTACAAAAGGTATTCATTGAAGAACGAGTGAATTCCCTCTTTGTGTGATTAGTGTTATTATAGAGCCGGCAGGAATATGAGCGCTGTCACTTTAAGAGCCGCACGGGTCCAATACACTGATACACATCTGTGAACAACACAGAAAACAGAGTCTCTCGCGCTTCAATGTTGCGATTCTCTCTCTCTCTAGTCTTGCGCTCGATCCGCTCTGCTCCGTGCTTCTCTGTGATTGGTCAACTGAATCTGAACGCCATCGTTCCTCAAGAGAGCAGTGTTGAGAAGCCCCGCCCACAGCATCGATCTGACTGTCAATCAAAGTCCCTCTCTCATTCCTGGAGCACTGGAAGTCTGCGCTCGCTGTCGTCGATCACGCTCCAGATGCTCGGCGCCGACAGCAAGGCCTGGACGCTGGCAGTGCGATAACTTCATGAGGGATTCATATTCATTTATTGATTATTGATTTTTAATTATCCGCCGGTCAAAATTATTTGACACGTACTGTACAGTCAAACCAAAATGTATTCCAACATTTCTCACATTATCAGTTTATTCGCTGTAGTTTAGAAAATGGTCATTAAATATGACGAGAACTCAGTGGATATTTGACTGGTTTTGTCCGTCCTTCTGTTAGACTCTCACACATGAATTATGTTGAATATCTGTCAGCTGTTAAACTTAACTACACAATTAGATAATACCAGTTTAGCTCAACCAGTGACCAAGCAATGCTTCATGTTGTTCAGTGTGTGTGTAAAAAGAGCATTAGCAATTACAGAAAACACACTTCAGCAAAACATGATCAGCTCAAAGTGGAGGAATCATGTTTGCTCCCAAATTTTTTGGGTATAATATGTCACCGTTTACTTTATTTTGCTCTCCTCACTTACATAAATGAACTATAGTGTCCTGCACACACTAGTAAGAAAATATCAACATTTATATCGGGTTTCTGAATAATTTTTGGTTTGACTGTACAATAAAAAGTGTGTAGCTGTTATAAACGCACACACAGCACAGGTTATGATGGAGCGAGGCTCAGATCTGACACATGAATGTTCTCGGCCAATCAGAGAAGAGCTGCTGAGTTCAGAGCTCTGTGATTGGTTGATTTATCAATGAGACGTGATATCTTTTGTTTTTTGCAACTGTGGGAGTGGGAATCTCTTTATGATGTGTTTGGTTTTGTATATATTTGTGTGTTTGGTTATGAAGAGTATGTGTGAATGCTGTAGGAGTGTGTTTCTGCCACGCAATAAAGATTATAGATAGATAGATAGATAGATAGATAGATAGATAGATAGATAGATAGATAGATAGATAGATAGATAGATAGATATTAGTCCTTACGGAAATTCATTTTGTGTCATCTATCTATCTATAAAAAACAGGTAATTGTGAACTTTTGAGGAAAAATAATAGAATTGCAAGATATAAAGATATAAGATATAAATTGAGAATTTATCAGAATTGCGAAATATGTATAATGAGATATAAACTCAGAATTTTAAGGAAAAGTCAAAATTGCGAGATATGAATTATGAGATATAAACTCAGAATTTTGAGGAAAATATTCAGAATTGTGAGATAAATTGCGAGATATAAATAAAAAAATCTGAAGAAAATAGTCCGATTTTTGAGATATAAATTGCGAGATATAAATTTATAATTTTGAGGAAAATAGTCAGAATTGCGAGATATATATGGCTAGATATAAACTCATAATAAACAATAATCAGAAATCTGAGACTTAAATTGCGAGATATAAACTCATAATAAACATTAATCAGAATTCTGAGATGCAAACAAGCAATATTGTGAAAGAAAGACTGAATTACCCTTGTTTTTATTGCGTGGCGGAAACAAGCTTCCATATAATACAGTGAAATTGTGAATGAATGAGAGTTTTGTAGAACGTGATGTGCAAGAATAAGCTTTTCTCTATATTATTTGTGTATGATCTGTTGTCAAACTGCCTTGGGAAGGTCACATGGTGCTTTTATAACTCATTTTCCTGTTTTCTGTTTTTCAAAAGAGCTGAACACAGTGTTTACACGACTACACTAAAACCGTAAGGGCACATATTCATCCAGAAGCTTATTAATTATCAAGAGAGTTACACCATTAGCACCATTTTTCCACTAAATTAATTGCATGTGCCAAAGGTTTAATAAACATATGTGCCTTAATTAGATTATACACAAATACAAGCCAACAGCATTTTGTCACAAGTATTAAATATCAGAACCTGATATTGTATGTTTGTCTTGATCTGTTCAGCACTTTGATTGGTTTATTGAAATAAACTTCATCCTAAAGCACTTCATAGAAATAAAGACTTCTTTTTTTACACTGTTTGTGTTTGTCTGATATTCTCTTACAAAAATGTACCATTTTGAAGTAATATACATTTTATTATACATTTGTTTGCTACTTTAAACAATGGAAGACGTGTTTAGAATCTCTAAATTTAATTTGTTCTTTTAATACAAAAAAAAAGTTTTACAGTAGTAAGTCAAGTCAGCTTTATTTATACAGCGCTTTTTACAACAGTGTTTAAAAGTAGCTTTACAGAGATAACACGAAAATAATGCAACAAAGTTTGCAGTTTTAGCATCAGTCCAACTTATGTAAGTTCAGTGATGGTTCATTTTTGTTGTAAAAAAGTTATTAATTTAGTTCATTTATATATATAGCCGCTCTGGAGAAAACCGTGATGTCATTATAGCTGTTGAATGTCAGAAACTTACTATATTTTAAGCCAGTTAAATATCAATATTAATATAAGACTTAAATCAAATGCATTTATGAGGGTTGTTGTTTAAGAATGTTTTAAGTTCAGATTAAATTTTTCATTATGAATGTTTGAAAAGGGGATTAATTTTACACGCTACTCGTCTCATGAATATTAAGTCACGTTTCTAGCGCGACCTCATTAATATACATGCGGCGGCTTGCGCTCAGCGCTCGGATTGGTCGCCGCGCGCGTCCACGGAGCGCATGCGCAGAGAGCAGCGCATCCTGTGCGCGGTGCGGAGAGGTCTCGCGTTGCGGGCGTCTGGACTTTAAAAGCGGGCGTCACCTCGCGTCTCCGCATCAGCATCTTCAGAGAGAGAACAGCTGAAACACTCGCGAACACCCGGTGCTGGTAAGTGACTGTCTCTGAACAGATGACGTCATGTACACACACACACACACACACATAGAAGCGCGCTGAATCTTGATTATACCGATTGATCCAATGCATCTTCGTTGCAGCAACTTTATAGAATTGAGGATTGAATTGAGTTTGTCATGCACAGGGTGCGCGTTATGAGAGCGTGACTTGACACTTCTCACTGTCACATCATGTGTCATGTGTGTATATGATCGTGTGAGTTGATGATGATGATGATGATGATGATGATGATGCATTGAGCATTTGTTGCAGACTGTGTGTTTGTGCAAGTTCTGGCGTGCGTCATTAATCGCTGCGAATGTTTTGGGCCGATCTGAGCGGATCTGTCATGATCAACAGCAACTTCTGCGCGTGCACTACACGATGATGTCATCGCTGGATTTGAACTGATCAAATATTCACTTTTAATACGAGGTTGCATTTACAATTCTATGGCTAAATGATTATAATTAAAGAGATATAATTGGATATAATCCTATATGCAATGCAATAATACTGTATTACACTAGTTGAGTCTTGCAGTTTTGTTGTTATGTTCTATTTTGAATTTTATTGCCTATAGGATTAGCAGAGTTGGAATATTCAATCATTGCTACACTGTACCGTTCTGTACTGTAGGAAAGTTATTGAGTCTTGCATTTTTGCTGTTATATCCTATTTTAAATAAAATTGCATATAGGATTATAATTAAAGTTTGTAAATTTTTTCCGAGAGTATTTTACGATGTTGTTATTTAATACTATAGTGGAGTAGAGTTATTGAGTCTTGTATTTTTTGACCTTTTTGCGATGTTGCATATCCAATTTTATTAATGCATATAGGATTATAATTAAATAGTTGTATGATTATAATTCAATAATGCAATATTATACTAGTAGAGTCTTGCATTTTTGCCTTTATGTCCTATTTCAATATATTGCATATTGGATTACAATAAGAGTTAGCATAAATTATTTATAAAGTTATTACATTTAGCAGCATGTTTGCTGTTATATCTGTATGTTATATAGAGCATTATTATAGTAAGTACAGTATTGCAAAATATAGTAAGAGTCACTGAGTCTTGCAGTTTTGCTGTTATATCCATGTTCTATATAACATGTTATATCCATATTCAGTTTTTATGTTTTATTGCATATAGGATTATAATTAAAGTGTTTTTGGTTAAAAAAAAACAATTCCCATCATATTTATTAGCTATTTCATGCAATACTTTACTGTACAATTATTGAGTTTTGTATTTTTGCTGTTATATTTTATTTAATATTTTATTTCATATGCAAATATAAATGATTTTTATTGTCCAAGATGTGTAAAAGTGAAAAATCTCAATTATACCAAAAATAGCTCGATCCTTATGAGTTTAATATCCACTTGTCTTCTTGAATGACTTTATTTTTATAGTTATTAATGAAGACAAATACAAAAAAAGAATATTTTGAATACTGTATCACTGTAGAGATCAGTCAAAACAACAGCTTTTGGCTGATGCACAGAAAAACAGTGTGTGTGTGCGTGTGTGTTGGATGTGGGCTGTTTTGCTAAATATTGCTGTATAATCACACTGATCTTCAGTGAAGATCTGCAGCAAACACATTTTCCACCCCAGTCCTTCACTGTGTGTGTGTGTGTGTGTGTGTGTGTGTGTTTGTTGCTGTATAACTTGAGCCGCTGTGCTGACTGTGCAGTTCATGTAAAGGTGATCGGGTCAAAGAGTCACACAAACACACAATGACACATGAAACATGGCTGATCAACAGAAGAAATGTAATTTTTTAGTTAAATTAAAGTTTTTAGAGACCGGAATTAATGAAGCCAATTAACTAACGTTCTCACTCTTCACAGGCGATTTATCGTTTGCAATGATGTCACTGCAGAAGCCTCCCCTCAGACGCAGCGCGTCGACCGTAGAATCGACCAATCACAGCGGCCCGTTGTTGACTCCGCCCTCCTCCCTCAATTTACGCTCCTCCCACAACCAGCAGCTGAGCTGCGACACCATAAAGGAGGGCATGGTCGCGGTTTCCAAGGAAGCGCAAGGCTCTTCGAAAAGTCGTCAAAACTACGCATTGACGAATATTCAGAACGCAATGGGTTTGAGCCAAGACCCCGCCCCTTTGAGCCAAAGCCACGCCCATTTGAGCCAAAGCCACGCCCCCGTGCACTTTAAACCCGCCCCGACCAAATCCGCCTCATCGTCGTCTATCTACTGCTCCTCGCTTTCCTTTTCCACATCCAATCCCAAACTGGCCAAGAACGGCACTAACCTCCAGCTAAAAGAGGAGCAGTTGGACCTCAACAAGAACGACAAGAACCTCCTGAGCAGGAGCAGCTGCGATTGGCTGGAGGGGAAGGACAACCAGAAGAACCCAACATTCAGGAGGAGGACCAAGAGCTTTCTAGAGTACCATCGGGAGGAGGAGGCGTCCAGCAGTCCCAATAAAGACACGCATGTAGAGGAGAAGCACCTCCTGCCTAAGCTGGAGGCGCAGACGTGGGCTAAAGAGAACCATGTGGAGGTTCACCTCACTCTCCCACAGAACCACCTGCTGGCCAGCGAAGAAGAGGAGGAGGAGGAGGAGGAGAGTCCAGAACCGGCGGACGTTTACCAACACGTACTCCGGCCGAACAACGAGCGCGTGAGCCGCGTCAGAGACGGGTACGGCTGGACAATTAATCGAATTTGTAATCGCGATTACAATTGCGGAAGGTGCAATTACCAAACAAAAAAGCTCACTTACATTATTCTGTGTGCTTAAGATGTGTTTTTGTTTTTCTTTCTACAGCTTATTTTAAAGGTGCAGTGTGTAATGTTTAGCGGCATCTAGTGGTGAGTTTGCGAATTGCACCCAACAGAAGTTACGGTGGCCGACAGGAAGTGATGTCGTCGTCTGAGACCGCAGAAAGTAGCCAGTTAAGCAATGAGGTTTCTTTACAAAGATAAATTAAGAAATTAGGTTTACTTAATTATTTAGTAAAACGATGTTATTGCGAGTATTATTGTTGCTTGTTCATCATTGTGTCAGTGTTTTATTCGCCGACTTCAGCAGCTTCTTATCATGAAGAACAACATAGTGAGGAAACGCGTTTGTCCGTTCAGGGCCACCGTAGAAACATGTCGAGAGAAACGCCTCATTCTAAGCTAATAAAAACATCACGGTTCATTATGTAAGGTCTTTATACACCACTGAAAACATAGTTATAAATATGATATTGCATTTCTGTCAACAGATCCTCCTAAATATTACACACTGCACCTTTAAGGGTTTTTTACTTTGGTTTGGTTTCTTTAAATAAATAAAAATTTATATTTGGGATTTGAGGCTTAATCCTATAGAAAAGCAAAAAAAAAAAGCTTTTCATCTTGTATTTTGATATAACAAAATGGCATAAAGCTATTCAAAACATCATTCAATGTAAATTATGATAATCGTAGTTATAAGCGCAATTACAATTTCAAGGGAATAATCGACAATTATGATTTTTGTCATAATCGTGCAGCCCTAGAGATGGGAACGTCGCTTCTCCGAGCGGAAAGGTCCAAATGATCCCGCCGTCCACGTTACGCCTGGAGCTGAGAGAAGCCGAGGCCGAGGAGTCGAGCGAACGCCCGGCGCGACCCGAGAAACAGCTGGAGGACGAGGAGGAGGAGGACTCCAGCTGGACGACGCTGTCCCAGGAGAGTCCATCTGTGGAAACGCCTCCGGAAACAGGTGACGACCTTTCACACTCGTGCTGATCGAAAGCAGTGCTGGGGAAAGTTACTTCGAAAAGTAATGCGTTACAATATTGCGTTACTCCCTTAAAAAGTAACTAATTGCTTTACTTAGTTACATTTAAAGAAAAGTAATGCATTACATTATTGCGTTACTCCCTTTAAAAGTAAATAAGTGCTTTACTTTGTTATATTTAAAGAAAAGTAATGTGTTACATTATTGCGTTACTCACTTAAAAAGTAACTAATTGCTTTACTTTGTTACATTAAAAGAAAAGTAATGCGTTACATTATTGCGTTACTCCCGTAAAAAGTAACTAATTGCTTTACTTAGTTACATTTAAAGAAAAGTAATGCATTACATTATTGCGTTACTTCCTTTAAAAGTAAATAATTGCTTTACTTAGTTACTTTTAAAGAAAAGTAATGTTACATTATTGCGTTACTCCCTTAAAAAGTAACTAATTGCTTTACTTAGTTACTTTTAAAGAAAAGTAATGCATTACATTATTGCGTTACTTCCTTTAAAAGTAAATAATTGCTTTACTTAGTTACATTTAAAGAAACGTAATGCGTTACATTATTGCGTTACTCCCTTTAAAAGTTTCTAATTGCTTTACTTAGTTACTTTTAAAGAAAAGTAATGTTACATTATTGCGTTACTCCCTTAAAAAGTAACTAATTGCTTTACTTGGTTACATTTAAAGAAAAGCAATGTCACATTATTGCGTTACTCCCTTAAAAAGTTTCTAATTGCTTTACTTAGTTACTTTTAAAGAAAAGTAATGTTACATTATTGCGTTACTCCCTTAAAAAGTAACTAATTGCTTTACTTAGTTACATTTAAATAAAAGTAATGTGTCACATTATTGCGTTACTCCCTTAAAAAGTATCTAATTGCTTTACTTAGTTACTTTTAAAGAAAAGTAATGTTACATTATTGCGTTACTCCCTTAAAAAGTAACTAATTGCTTTACTTAGTTACTTTTAAAGAAAAGTAATGTTACATTATTGCGTTACTCCCTTAAAAAGTAACTAATTGCTTTACTTAGTTACATTTAAATAAAAGTAATGTGTCACATTATTGCGTTACTCCCTTAAAAAGTATCTAATTGCTTTACTTAGTTACTTTTAAAGAAAAGTAATGTTACATTATTGCGTTACTCCCTTAAAAAGTAACTAATTGCTTTACTTGGTTACATTTAAAGAAAAGTAATGCGTTACATTATTGCGTTACTCCCTTTAAAAGTAACTAATTGCTTTACTTAGTTACATTTAAAGAAAAGTAATGTTACATTATTGCGTTACTCCCTTAAAAAGTATCTAATTGCTTTACTTGGTTACATTTAAAGAAAAGTAATGTTACATTATTGCGTTACTCCCTTAAAAAGTATCTAATTGCTTTACTTGGTTACATTTAAAGAAAAGTAATGTTACATTATTGCGTTACTCCCTTTAAAAGTAACTAATTGCTTTACTTTGTTACTTTTAAAGAAAAGTAATGCGTTACATTACTTTTGCGTTACTTTTTCTCACCTGGGCTGTGCTTGTTTTTCGTGTTTTATTTTTAAAGTTCTATTTTTTGGCAAATGTTCTATATTTTGGCCAAAATTTAAATAATGAGGCTGAAGGAAATGCAAATTCACAAATCTGTTTGTTTTGCCAGTGAGATTTAGTCTAGAACTACAATAACAATCAATTTACTCACAATTTCTCTCAACATGAGGACAGAAGAATGGGAAAGTCTGTCAGTCAATACATGGGAAAACAAAGTAGCTTGCGTTACTTATTTGAAAAAGTAACTTGGATATTTTGTTGCAAATTTAAAAGTAATGTGTTACTTTACTAGTAACTTAAAAAAAAGTAACCTGATTACGTAACTTTTAAGTTACTTGTGATGCGTTACACCCAACACTGATCAAAAGTACAGTAAAAACTGTGAGTTGTTGTTATCATGTGGAATATCAGTTTTCTCTGGGATTGTGTGGTGTTGCAGGAGTTTGGGAAGAGCCTCGGCTGAGGGAGTGTTTTTGGCGGGATCAGCCTGACCTGGAGGCGGAGCCATGGGTGAAGGGGGCGTGTCTTCCTGTGCCCTGCTCTAAAGCACAGACTGAGGTACACACACATTCACACATTTAGCAGACAATTTTATCCAAAGTGACGTACAAATGAGGAATACAGCAATCTTAATGAGGCAATAAACACGGATATAAAGTTTCAGAATAACCCTAACAGGGAGAGACTGGGGAATAGTTTCTTTAGACACAGCGATGATCCTCTGCTCTTACCACAGTTTTCCTGCATGTGATGATGTGTTTCTTATTTACATATTGAAGAAGGGCCCGCCCCTTTTTTTAAAGTCAGCCTGATACGTAAAGTGCAACCATCTTTTCTTCCCTATTGTGACGTATCTGAGTGAAACGGCTTCTTGACTAAAAAAATAATGTGGGTGCGATTTTGTGTGGTTGTGTGTGTGTGTGCGTGCTTTGGGTCTGCGTGCATGTTTGTGTGTGTGTGTGTGCGATTATGTATCCGTGGTTGGGTGTGTGTGTGCGTGCTGTGTGTCTGCGTGCACGTTTGTGTGTGTGTGTGTGTGTGTGTTTGTGTGTGTGCGATTGTGTGGGTGCGATTGTGTGTGTGTGTTTGTGTGTGTGCGTGCTTTGGGTCTGCGTGCACGTTTGTGTGTGTGTCTGTGTTTGTGTGTGTGCGATTGTGTGGGTGCGATTGTGTGTGTGTTTGTGTGTGTGTGTTTGTGTGTGTGCGTGCTTTGGGTCTGCGTGCACGTTTGTGTGTGTGTGTTTGTGTTTGTGTTTGTGCGATTGTGTTTGTGTGTGTGTGTGTGTGTGTGCGATTGTGTATCCGTGGTTGGGTGTGTGCGTGCTGTGTGTGTGCGTGCTTGTGTGTGTGTGTGCGTGCTTGTGTGTGTTTGTGCGTGCTTGTGTGTGTGTGCGCTTGTGTGTGTGTGCGTACTGTGTGTCTGCGTGCTCGTTTGTGTGTGTGCTTGTGTGTGTGTGTGTGCTTGTGTGTGCGCTTGTGTGTGTGCGTGCTGTGTGTCTGCGTGCTCGTTTGTGTGTGTGCTTGTGTATCCGTGGTTGGGTGTGTGCGCATGCGCATGTGTGTGTGCATGTGCGCGCGCGTGTGTGTGTGTGTGTTTGTGCGCTTGTGATTTGATTTGATTTTTTTTGTTTATTAAAAAAAAAAAAATCTGGTAAATTTACAATGAAATAACGAAATGTGAATGTAAAAACAATGAAATGTGTGTGTGTGTGTGTGTGTGTGTGTAGCGGCCCAGCAGTATCGTGTCGGACAGCTCTGTGGAGCCCGTTCCTTCGTCCGCCTCGTCACCCTCCTCTTCCTCGCTGTGTTACGAGGCGATGGGACGCGCCGCCAGTTTCCTCAACAACAACTACCTGGTAAACATGTGAAGATAAACACAAAGCCACAAGAGCTGGACTTTGACGCAAATTTAATGATTTGATTTTGATTCACAAGCATGCGATTTAGTTCAGTTTCGAACTTCAATCTGATCCGATTCATGAGGAAAAACTGTGAATCAGGCGTTCAGAAAGCGTCAGATCGTAGAGATGTCATGAACTCTCTTCAGTCACGTCATGTTTATCATACAGCACTTTACACACGCGATCGCTTTACAGCGTTACACTGATGAACATGAAACACTGTCAGAGTCTCTGAGTAGAATCACAGCTTCAGTTTCTGCTGTCCAGCGTCTCTCCAGTGTGTGTGTGTGTGTGTTCACTCGCGTCTCTCCAGTGTGTGTGTGTGTGTGTTCACTCGCGTCTCTCCAGTGTGTGTGTGTGTGTGTTCACTCGCGTCTTTCCAGTGTGTGTGTGTGTGTGTGTTCACTCGCGTCTCTCCAGTGTGTGTGTGTGTGTGTTCACTCGCGTCTCTCCAGTGTGTGTGTGTGTGTGTTCACTCGCGTCTGAACAGAGGAAACGAGCCGGGGAAGATTCACACCTCAGAGGAGGCGGAGCCTGAGGGACACGCCCACTTATGACATCATCACCACAGACCAATGAGAGTTCAGAGGCGTTTACCAGCCGGAGCGAACTCCCGAAAACAAACTCAAAACGAACTTCATATTAGCCTGAATTTATAATGCTGTGAACGACATAGGGAACCTGTCAGTCGCTACAAATATTAAAGCTTAAACTGATTTGTGTACAGTTTTTTTTATAATAATGTTAAAATAATAACCTTCTAATGACATGATGTGGTTCTGCTCCAATTAATTTTTTGAAATATAAACATTTAAACAGTGGCTTTCATAAAAACTTGTTTTTGTAATGAATTTATTCAAACACACATACAATAAGTTAAAATATAATGCATATGTAATATAGTGCGTATATAGTAGTCAACATTTGAAGTGGATCAAAACCTTTCATCAAAGTTATACATGAATTTTGAACAATACCTGTTCTTGTCTTAGCATATATATATATATATATACAGTATACAGTAGTCAACATCTGAAGTGGATCAAAAAAAGTTCATCAAAGTTGTCCTAAGACAATTATTGTTCAAAATTCATGTATAACTTTGATGAAAGGTTTCGATCCACTTCAGATGTTGACTACTATATATACAGTATGCTATGGAAGGCAAGCAAATGCTTTCTGAGATTTGAGACTTTATGCAGGTTTCTACCGTTCTTTACAGGACCTGACGGAGACATGCGACTCCCGAGAGAAGCGTCGCGAGCGCGAGCGACAGGAGGAGCGCGAGAGAGAGCGACAGATGAACCGAGAGAGTTTAGGAGCTCACGGCGGCCCGTACAGCTTCATCAACCACAGGTGCAGATCATGAGGAATATTAATCATAAACCCGCAGGACAGAAGCTTCATGCTGATCTCTATCCTCCGCAGAGCTAAAGTCCCATCAGCCCCTGCAGACACCGTCATACCCATCAATGACCTGGACACGCAGGTGACGGCTCTTCGACAGGTGTCAATCACTCTGGACACCACACACGGGCTTCAAACTGCAAATATTAACACAACTTGTAACAAGAAGAATGAGCTGCAAAATATCAGCATTAAACAATGATGAGGGAAGACACAATCACAGACATCACAAATAAAAATAAAATAAATAACAATAATAATAAAAACAACAACGAGGAATGTCAAAACATAGAACATACACATAGACACCACAAATAAAAATAAAATTATGATAATAATAATAACAATAAAGGATGGCATAAAATAACAGACCACAAATAAAATTTAAAATAACAAAACAATATAAAATAAATAATAATAATAATGATCAGGAATGACATGAAATCACAAATAAAAAATATTAATAAATAATATTAATAATGACGAGGAATGACATGAAATCCCACAGAAATCACAACTAAAAAATTAAATAAAAAATTATAATATTAACGATAACAAAGGATGACATAAAATAATATAGACACTAGAAATAAAATAAATAAAAAGCAATATAAAATAAATAATAATGATAATAATGAGGGATGACAAAATCACAGACATCACAAATAGAAAATGTAAAATAAATAATAATAGTAATAATGACGAGGGATGACATGAATCACACAGATATTACACATCAAAATAATAAAATAGAATATATATTTATATTTTAATATAAATGGTCTTGGTTATCTTAGTTAAATCCTGGGAAGTTTTAATTGCTTTTTTGTTTCTCTGTCAAAATTGTTACCAAGAGTCAGTATGACAGAAACAGGAACATTTCTTCTTTGATTTCATTTAAATCATTAAGAAAATTAAGTAGGTTATACCTGAATATGTAATTTAAAAAAATAGGTATTTATTGATTTATTTAAGAGCAGTTTAGATGAATTTCCAAGAATTTAGCCAAGAAACACTAATATTATGATGGATTTAACTATAACTCTCTTGTTTGGTATCACCAAATGATTATATTCTGACCAGATATTATGGAAAGATATTAAAGGATAAAACTAGCGCCATAAACGGTGGTATTTAACAACAGTGACGCCGTGTGGCGCTGCCTGTAACTACAGCTGAGCAGCAGTTTGAAGCAATGCATTGTGGGAACAGAAAAATGACATCATCTTTAGGTTCAATGAGAAACAACTGATGTCTAATATACAAGATCGTTATATTTGAGATTTTTTTCTTAATATTTTGAACACATTTGTACAATTATGCTACTTTAACTTGATAAAAAAGGAATACATCAGATTGATCCGATCAATAGGATTTATACTGTAGGGTTAAAGGGATAGTTCACCCAAAAATCCTAGGTGTGTATGACTTTCTTCTTTCAGACGAACACAATCAGAGTTATATTAAAAAATGTCCTGGCTCTTCCAAGCTTTATAATGGCAGTGAATGGCTGTTCTGTTTTGAAATCCATAAAAGTGCATCTGTCCATCATAAAAGTGCATCTATCCATCATAAAAGTGCATCTATCCATCATAAAAGTGCATCTGTCCAGAAAAATATCCACATTTAACCCTTTATTGACTAAAATAACTAGCTAAATAACATAAACGACCATTCACTGCCATTATAAAGCTTGGAAGAGTCAGGACATTTTTTAATATAACTCTGGTTGTGTTCGTCTGAAAGAAGAAAGTCATACACACCTAGGATGACTTCAGGGTGAGTAAATCATGGGCTAATTTTAATTTTTGGGTGAACGATCCCTTTAAGAAAGGAGTTGAGGTCCAGTGTGCTGGTGTGCGGCTGCAGGTGTTCTGGGTCCAGTATCTGGGCTGGTTGGAGGTTCGGGAGGCGGATCTGATGTGTGGGAAGAGCGGCTCGGCGGTCAGCGACTGCATCCAGCAGCTTCAGCGGCGCAGAGAGACAGACAGCGACCGGGCGAGGGTGAGACCATGTTTGACAGCATGTTTAAGTTGTCACTTTTTGGGGTTTAGAAAAACAGTCATACACTCACACGTCTCTCTCGTTCTCTCTCGTTTAGAGACAGACGATGCTACTGGTCCTGCAAGATGTCACTCTCAGCCTCATCGACGCCACTGACCACACCCTCCTGCACTCTCAGCCAATCAGCTGCATCCGCGTGTGGGGAGTGGGGCGGGGCCTCAGCAGGTCAGACACGTCCCCCTCAAGCCTTTGTAACTCCATTAGAGGAGTCCTATAATGCCCTTTAATAAGATGTAAAATATATCTCTGATGTCCCCAGAGTGTGAATCTTTAGCTCAAAATACCCCACAGATATTTGTATATAGCATGTTAAAGTTTTTTTTGAGGGTGAGCAAAAACACACCGGTTTTGTGTCTGTCCCTTTAAATGCAAATGAGAAGTGACATAGAAGCAACAGGACCTTTCTGATTGGTTAGTTGATGAATGTGTGTTGCTGATGTGGAGTTAACTCTCTTCTAGTCATTGATTAGCATATTCTGTCATGATAATCTATAAATCGTGTTCCGGGGGCGGGGTTTATGCAAATTCTAGGGTTTGTGATGTCACTAACCCGGGAGGAAGCTCGTGTAGTTCTACCAGCCGTTTGTTGTAGTCCTTAAAAAGTGATTTCTGAAAAAAAACACTGTTATTTTCCAACATCCTACATTTACTTGATGTTCTTTGTACCGTATTATTGATCTGTCCATCTATAACACATTTATAGTGAAAAGGATGAAAGAGGAATGAGGAGATGACAGGATTTTGTTTGAATAAGAAATTAGTGTATGAAATCCAAATTTTCTCATATTTTATATATATAAGCTGTGATGTGGTTAATTTTATTTTCTTATCATTTTATGATATATGTTTGGCTAGTAGAAGTTCTGAATGGCCGATAACTTAAACATTTAGTAGCCAAATTGGCCGGTGAGTGAAAGTTCATTTCAAACCCTGCTCATGACGTGTGTTATAGCAGTGAAGGCTTATTATTCATCACATTTAATCCTTTTTCTTTCTGACAAACTCTTAAAAGTCACTGTTTGTGTTTGAAATGTCCTGCTAGTGTCCTGCACACTGCACAGTAGAGGCCACATGTGAAACACGACACGTTATGCAACAAACAGTAAGATATTACAGTCACATGAACTTGTGTGCGTATTTAATTCAGTGATCGGCATCACACACATAAATGTCCTGATTTTATTATCCAGTGTGTGTAAGGCAGTGTTTCACAACCTTTCAATATTTCAAAAATGTGTTTCACACACCCTACATTAGTGTTATCACGATACTGGAGTTTAACTTTAATAAGATACCTTGAAGTATCAATATTCAGTACCATTTTTGATACGACGGTTTCATATATATTTTTAATATTATCACATTTTTTGTCCATCCATTCATTATAAGTCAAGGCAATCAATAATTTCTTCTGAAGAGATTACGGTTTATTACAGATATTAATTTATCTTGTATTCATATATAGACATTGGTCAATTACCATTATAACACCTACAGGTTTGCTCACTTTGTGTATTTGTGTTTTTACAATGGGCTAATTAATTTCAGTAGCACAAGATGGTTGATTTCAACTTTGATTGAATTTAAA